AAGGCCACCCTATCACAGCCATATTATTCACATATCGAGTCCCAACAGCAACAGTGTAGGGATGAGCACGACAGTGCAGGTGAGCATGAAGGATGGACAAGCTTCGGGGATTTTGGATTGGGAACACAACAAAACACTAACACTCAGGGATTTGGGAATAGTCAGACGCCCGCTAATATCGATGATTCGTTTTTAGATCGAATCAATGAATTGTCAAACGAATTCAATCAATGGCACCAGCGTGACCAAGAAGAACAACAACATCGTCTATCATTTTATTTTTAGATCGTATGTTACTAATTTTATGCTTTATTGCAGTCCATGTATGTTGATATACTTATTCCATGATAATTATATGTTTATCCTTTTGTGTGATGTAAATTAAATGCTGAATGGCGGTTCATGCAGGGAAAGAACATATCAATATTCGCATATTCATTCAAAAACATGAAAATTCTTAATGGAGTACCCTCATTTCTTATTGAATTCCTAAAAAACAATATTTATAATGAATTTTAATAATTTTTTCGGATTTTTTTTAAGCTTTATTCTGACCGATTCACTCGATTCCCGATCCGGATCGCCAATTCGCCGATCCAGATCGGTTTTTTGGAAGCCCGATTCGGGTCACCGATCCATTTTTTAAACCATTGATTCAAACAATATCCACTCCTACAACGAGCTTAAGACCACCCATCCAATTGTTAGAATTTAGATTCCTACTCAAGACGATTGTTTTCTTATTGTTAAATGGGAGGAAACAATTATTTTCTTTTAAACTTCTATTAAAAAAAGAAACACCTCCTCAATTGGAAGTTTTGCCTCTTGTGGGTAGAATCTAATCTCACTAGAAGAATAAGCTCCTTAATGGTAAGTGTAGGTGCCCATGGGGCCTCACATGTGTCATATTTTTATCTCTTAATTTAATTAATATTTATCTTAATTAATATGTTTTAATATTTATCACTAAAAAGCTTCTTTGATAGAGAAAATGATTTTTATCCAATGATAGAGAAAATGATTTTCAAGAAGAAAGCTGAACGTTGGAGAACGGCCTCCTCTCATCCCTCTATATGTAGGATTACATGGCTATGGAGTAGTACACAGAGAAAAACACATAATTAATAGTTCTGGTAAAACACTGATATGTACGATTTATAGTCTAACGACACTGCCATCAATACTTGGGAGTTTGGTGGGTTCATATCTTCCCCACAAACGTTCAACATTGGTATCAAAGCGAAGTTACTGTCAACTTGCTGCTGAGATTTCACATTATCTATTTTATGCTCCTTGCCTAAGCAGTCATATGACACATGTATAGGTTATTCAAAATAGAGATAAATTACAAAATAGATATAAATTACAAAATAAAATTGTAAAATGTCCATTTATAGGTTATTCAAAAAATTCTAAGGGCTATAGATTCTATAACCATGATATTAGATCATTAATAGAAAATCGTGATACTCATTTTTTAGAATATATAGATGATGAACCTAGTTTAAGTAAGCCTATTGCCTTACACGAAATTGATAAAGATAACCCTATTTCTCAATCTCCCTCTAGAATTGGTGATAATGATTTAATTGAACCTAGTATACCAGATGCATATAAAAGAATCATAGCCCCACCTATGACTTTAGAAGAATTTTATGTGATTTATGAATGAAGATAATTATTCTCCAATAAGAGATTATTCAATAGATGAACCTCAAAGCTACAATGAAGCTACTAACTTGCATAACTCAGTTGAGTGGACTCAAGCCTTGGATGATGAACTTGATTCTATTAAAAGAAATCAAGTTTGGGAATTGACTAACCTCTTTAAAGATAGAAAAACTATTGGATGCAAATAGATCTATTGATAAATATAAAGTTAGGTTGGTAGCTAAATGTTTTACTCAAAGGGGGCATATAGATTACGTATAAACTTATTCTCCAGTAGCATAATTTTCATCTATTAGCATTATCGTAGCATTAATTGCATATTATGATATAGAATTATTTCAAATGGATGTTAAAACAGCTTTCTTGAATGGAGAATTAAAATAAGATATATGTATGGAACAACTAGAAGGATATGTAATTAAAGACCATGAAGACAAAGTAAAAGCCAAGAAAACAAAGTATACAAACATGAAAAATCTTCATATGGTCTAAAACAGTCTTCTAGGCAGTTGCATTTCATTTTTCATAATGAAATCACTGAAATTGATTATGTAGCCAATAGATTAGACCATTGTGTATATGTTTAGAATAATGGGAGCAATTTTGTTATTGTGTCATTATATGTAAATGACATTTTGCTAGCTGGTAATGATATTGACATGATTAACCATACCAAATCATGGCTAAGTTCCCTTTTTTAGATGAAAGATATTGGAGAATCCTCATATGTATTGGGCACTAAGATACAAGAAATAGAAGTTTGAGACTTTTATGTTTCTCTCAAAAAAATTATTTAGAAAGTATTTTAAAGATATTTAAGATTGAAAATTGCAACCCCATAGATACACATATTTGTAAAGGCTTGAAATTATCAAAAAAAAATGTGTCCATTATATGATAGCGACAAAGCTGAAACGGAAAGAATTTTATATGCTCAAGCTGTAGGATGTATAAATTATGTGATGTTGTGTACAAGACTCGATTTGACTTATGCATATAGTCTTGTGAGTAAATTTTAGAGTAATCATGGGATGACTCATTGACAAGCTATAAAAAAAATACTTAGGTATATTCTAAAAACTACAAATTGTACTTTCAAGCTGATAATTTAAAGGTTACTGGGTACTCTGATGCAGACTTTGCAGGAGACCTAGATAATAGACTAAAAACATCAAGACTTGTATTCTTCTTTGGAAGTGGATGTGTTTCTTTGTTCTAGCAAGAAACAAAGTTGTATAGCTCGGTATTCGATGGAAGCTCAGTATATTGCTTACAGCATAGCTACAACGTATGCCATCGAGATTAAATGCTTCATAAATGGTTTGAAGCTGGATATAGTTAACGGACCTGTTAAAATTTTTTGTGATACTCAGGTTGTCATCTCATCAATTAAAAATGGAGCCTATAGTTTTAAGTGTAAGCACATTGAAACTGATTATCATTACATTTATGATATTATTGTAAAGAATGAAATAATTGTAAGTTATTTATCATTTTCACATATGATTGCAGACCCTTTAACAAAGAAATTAAGTGCAAAAATATTATCAAAGCATGTAGCTATGATGAGACTTAAGCATATCTAAGTCAGGAACTCTCAAATGAGATATTTTTCTTTGATATCTCTGTAATGAGAAAACAAACCGTATTAGCATGAAAAACCCCATGATATGACTTTGAATGATCTCTGTAATATGAAATGCATAACCACACTAACATGAAAAACCTCATGAGAATGATATACTCATAAATGTTAAACCCACATGTGGGTGGCCATGGGGCATCACATGGATCATATTTTTCTATCTTTATCGAATTAATATTTATCTTGACAAATACATTTTAATGTTTATCACTATAAAGAGAGGATGTTTTTTATCCAACAGGCAAAATATAATTACCCATCTCTTTAAAAAAAACAAAAAACCACATTTTCAAAGATTTCAAGAAAAAAAACCAAATGTTAGACAACATCCTTCCATCCCTCTATAAATAAAATTTCTTGGCTATAGAGAGGCACACATAGAAAAACACATCTTTTTCGTTTTGTTTTCTCTTTCTTTTTTTTTTTTTCTCTTTTTCTTTTTTTTTGACAATGCCAAAGGAATGAAACTTGAGACATTGGGTTATGAACACCTAACCTCCACCGTCTTGCCCAAGCCCGATTACTAATTCATACTGTCATTTCAATCGTTCAAATGTTAATGATGCTTCTGCATTGAAGCTCCACAACAATCTCGTGCATAATCAACATCCCGGCAATGATACTTAAATTTTCTTTATTATTTATAATTATAAAAACAAGAGTAACCCATATGCTAAAATGAAAAATAGAAGAGAATGCGACAGCAAGATTGACTGTCACAAACAACAGTGTTTCATCAAGATGAACAGTTCCAAAATCCCATATTGAATACACAGTTATACAGGATGTTTTGAGAAGAAAACAACAGAGGTCTGACCACCCTAAACAGGACTCAATGGGGAAAGAAAGGCCCAGGATCATATCATACACTGTCACCTTCCACTCGAATCAAAATAATTCAGAGTAACCCTGTAAAACAAATTGGCAGCACACTCTTTTGCCATAATTTTCAAGTATGAAGAATACTCTTCATCTTATCGCTCACACTAAATCCAAAATCATGCTAGCTTTCCCAACTCCTCTAAAGAATAATTATCCCCGTTATAAATACTTTGAAAGAGTTCCGACCGCCTTTCCACGACCAAATATCATCTCCGTAAGTTCAATGCAGAACGTCTCCAAATACCCTCTCTATAATCTCTATAAAAGACAAGGCAAGAATACAAGCACAACTACATCTTGTTTCAGGTTTCAATGTTTCAGGTTTCAACAGTTGATGCCACACTGCTGGACGTCGGGGCCAGTGACTCTGGTGGTGAAGGGATCAATCCTAACCCAGAGGAGAGAGAAAATGGAGGCAAGCAATACAGACCAAACCACGACAATTGTTGGGGTCCGGTTCTGCCTTCCCATGAGACCTTTGAGGAATGGGTACAAATGGACAATCACCCAAAAAGCGAAAAAAAGCTTCCCGAACAATGGACCCCATGATTGGTATCCACTATTGATAGCATAAGAGATTCCAGCCACCACACCAACAAGGTTGATAATGAGGAGAGTGGTTGGCGGTATGAGGAGAGTGGTCCATTTGAACATGTAGAGCTCGGCAAAGTCTCCATCTTCATCAGTGGCCTTTGAGGTCACAGTGAAGTTGGTATCAATGCCTGCTAAGACTTTAAGAAGACCTTGGAAGACAGCAAAGAGATGAGCAGAAACACCACCAATGACCCAGAATTGTTCATTTCTCCACCACTCATCGATGCCAACGCCACTCCATCGCATCTCGAGTATACCAGTGGCAAAGATGGAAAGGAAGAGAGAGATGAACCAGATACTAGCGATGTTACTGATCTGCATGGACATTGAATTCATGCTATGTGAGCAAATGCTCAAAGGGGCAGGTGTGTGTACGTGTGTGTGTGTGAGCGAGAGAGAGAGAGAGAGAGAGAGAGAGAGAGAGAGAGAGAGAGACGTACGTACTACTATAGTGTGTAGAGTAAGAAGAGAGTAGTACGTACGTACGTAGTAGTACGTACGTAACGTACCGTACGGAGGAGACGACGACGACGACGGACGA